TTGTATTAGTTTCCTTAGGGCTGCTATAACAAATTACCATCCATATGTAGTCATCTTATAGATGCAGGAATTGCAGGTTTGATGGCAGATTAAAACAACAGAAATTTATACTTTTACAATTCTGGAGGATAGAAATCTGAAATTAAGGTGTCACTAGGTCTATGTTCTCTCTTTGAAGTGTTAGGGGAAGAATTTTTCTTTGACTTTCCCTAGTTTTTCATGATTGTTGGCAATCCTTGGCATATCTTATCTGATACCTGTCATTCCAATCTCTGCCTCGGTCATCACATGGCCTTCTTCCTGGTATATCTGTGTCCAAATCTCCCTTTCCCAATGATTAGGGGACTAATCATTGGGTTTAAGGACCACTCTATTCCAATATGATCTCATCTTAACTCATTTCATCTACAGATATTTCCAGTAGAGGCGGTCCACACTACCAGCTGCTTGGGAGGCCGAGGCAAGAGGATCCCAAGTTCAAGGTCAGCCCCAGGCTTAATGAGGTCCTAAGCAACTTAGCAAAACCCTGTCTCAAAATAAAACATAAAAAGGGCTATGGATGTTGCTCAGTGGCTAAATTACCCTGGGTTTGTTCCCTTGTACCAAAAAAAAAAAAAAAAAAAAAAAAAAAAATGGGCTGGGGATGTGGCTCAAGCGGTAGTGCACTCACCTGGCATGTTCGGGGCGTTGGGTTCAATCCTCAGCACCACATAAAAATAAAATAAAGATGTTGTGTCTGCCAAAAACTAAAAAAAAAAAAAAAAAAAAAAAAAAAAATAAAAAAAAAAAAAATTTAAAAATTCTCTCTTTAAAAAAAAAAAAAAAAACTATTTCCAGATAAGTCACATTTACAGGTACTGGGTGTTAGGACTTCAACACATCTTTTGGGAGGGACATGATTCAACTTGAAACACTTGTTACATATATAAAACCAATTACTTTCCTTCTCTTTTCTCCTACTTTATATATGGAGTGTTGTGGTTGTTTGACACTTCTCTCTTTTCTCAGTCTTGCCAATCTTTGTTGATGGTGTTAATTTCACAATATAGGTTACATAATATCCAGATAGGATTGTGGCTGAACTGGAAGAGGAATTTGTATCTCCTAGATACGGACATGGTAGTGGATATGACTTTGTGCCTTCTTTTTTTGAGGGAAGGAGGGTGAAGCTATATTTAAGTGGAATAACTGCATTTTGCTAAGCACTTGGGTGATGTTATTATTTCCATCTTATGTGTAAGTTTAAGTATGTTAGAAAATGGTGAAAATGGTACTGAAACCTTGAAAGAGTAGACTCTTCTTGTATGTGAGAGACTGAATAAAGGATTTATTTATTTTTTTCCTGCTTCTGATAGAGCTTTGGCAGCTTCTGGTTCCTATACAGGCAGGACAGTTCCAGCAGCAGAAGCATCAGGGCATGCCCTGCACTCATGTAGCTCTGACTTTGAAAGTGGTAGGTCACTTTGGGCTCTATATCTCTGAAAAAATGTATCATCAAAACATTTGGAGAAGGCCAGACGCAGTTGGTTAGGGCCTCCCAGAGGCTCAGAAGGCTGATGTAGGAAGATTGCGAGCTCAAAGCCAGCCTCCGCAAAAGAGAGATGCTAAGCAACTCAGTGAGACCCTGTCTCTAAATAAAATACAAAATAGGGCTGGGGATGCGGCTCAGTGGTCAAGTGCCCCTGAGTTCAATCCCTGGTTACCCCCTCCCCCACAGTTCAATCCCTGGTTACCCTCTTCCCCACAGTTCAATCCCTGGAACCCCCCAAAAAGAAAAATTTGAGACTTTTGTCAAACTGGTCCATTTAAAAGGCCTTGAAATAGTCTCAGCAACACAAAAGGATTAGAAATTCACAAGACATTTATCAAGGGGATGGATGGATAAGAGAGTTGTTAAACTAGCATACAGTGAGAAATAGGTCTAGCATTAGATGTTATAATTTTAGCTATTCACTTTTTCTGTATTCTTGAACAAGTTACTTAATCAGTACTAGCCTCATTTTCTTCATCTCAAATGTGGGGACTGGGATACTTTGAGGTTTTCATATTTGTATCAATGGTACTTCAGAGGGTTTCCTTTTTTCCTATTACAAAGTTTATTTAACAAAAAGTTTAATATGAAAAATGTACATGACCTGATTTTTATGTCATAGTTAAACAGGACCTTTGGAGAGGGGATACAGATTTCTCTGCTGAATAGTCATTATTTATACTCCTTCCAAGGCTTCTAACATGATGATGCTATTTCCTCATATTACCAACATTCCAATACTGTCTTGTTGCCCACTAGTTGTCATCTCTACACATTCATCTATCACAAGATTCATAAAGGGGTCAAATCCCTGCAATATACCTTGGACATGTCTGCCAGCATTTAATTCCAATGATAACTTCTTGTCCATAATTTCTTTTTTTTTTTTTAGCTAGGAGGGTTAACTTTGCTCATGTGTCTACTCGGCAGGCTCAGAGATGCTTTAAAATGGTATTGGTGGTCTCCTTCAGACTTCCGAGGTAGAATTTTTCACTCCAGAGGTTTTGAGGAGATCCTTCGAGCCCTGCAAAGGCAGGCAGAAGGGAGGACTGCGTGTGAGTAGGCTCCAGCCTTACCATCTTCCTTTATTTGGACTATGGCTACTGGTATAGTTCAAATGTATGGGGAAGGATCAAAGGCTTTGGCTGGGGAAAGAGAAAGGGAGGATGAAAGCAAGTAAGCAAGGAACCATTGGTTTAAATGCCCTATTAGGATTCCTTTTCAGTTTAAGGAATTATAGATCTTCATTTAAGGAAAAATGAAATTCTGGTATTAAAAACAAAAACCCTGGGGTCTGGAGTGTAGCTTAGCAGTAGAGCTGTGCTTCGAATGCATGAGGCCCTGGGTTCAATGCCCTCAGTGCTCCCCTCAAGGCCCTATTTAGTATTAGATTATGTCATAGTCAATGTAAAACTCCTGGGTAAGTCAAACACAATTAAATATGGAGAAAGCCATTATTGTTATATTTGATGTACAATGTAAGACACTATTAAATATCTGACATCTCAGCTGGTTTTTCCTTCAATGAACTTACATTACAAAGTCAACCAAAGTATAACTCTTAACAGTGGCCATATTTTATTTAAAAAATTTTTTTTGAAAAATCAGTTTAGGGGTCAGGGTTGTGGCTCAGTGGTACAGCACTTGCCTAGCATGAGTGAGGCACTAGGTTCCATCCTGGGCACCACATAAAAATAAACAAATAAAATAAATGTATTGTGTCCATCTACAACTAAAAAAAAATTTAAAAAAAATCAATTTGGTAATTTAAATGATCAATTTAGCTGGTTGGCAAGGAAAGAAGGACACCAGACAAGATACCAAAGACAGTAGGAAGAGTTGGTCAAGCAGAAATACTTAAGAGCACCCTTGGCTAAATACAGTTGAATAGCTCTGGCAATAAACACACATTTAAAATTTCCAGAGTGAAAATATTTTGAAACACAAATTAGAAATTTGGATCCTCTATTCCAAGCAAACATTTTAATTGCTTAATCTATATAATTAGCTTGATTTGGCATTTGGGACCCATAATTAGTATTTCCTGGTAGTTTTATTAACATGAAAAAATTAAGACCATTTTATTTATTTCACTACATAATAATTCACTGAGTCCTTTTTACACCCTCTTTTGCATCCTTCCATTTGATCATTTACTCTGCTGGAGCTTTCCTCTTCCCTTGCATGCTGGGCTTTATTTAAGACAGTGGTCTTACACCATACACACCATAACGTCATTTAAGCAATAGCACCAGAAACCACTCTCAGGGTCATCTTCCTTTCAAGGTTGTATTTTGCCATTGGGGATGGATTATGTCGTTACTATGGGGCAGTTATTTTTTATTTTTATTTTTTGGTACTGGAGATTGAACCCAGGGATGAACTTCAGAGGTACATCCCCAGTTCCTTTCTTTCTTTCTTTTTTTCAGATGCTGGTGATTGGACCCAGGAGCGCTTGACCACTGACTTACATTCCCAGCCCTTTTTTCGCATTTTATTTAGAGACAGAGAGACAGAGAATGGCTAAGTTGCTTAAGGCTTCGCTAAATTGCTGAGTCTGGCTTTGATCTTCCTGCCTCCGGAGCCTCCTGAATTACAGGTGTGAGCCACCAATCCCGGCCTTTTCATTTTTTATTTTTACACAGGGTCTTGCTAAATTGTTGAGAGTCTCGCTAAATTGCCGAGGCTAGCATCGAACTTGAGATTCTCCAGCCTCAGGAGTTGCTGGGATTGCAGGTGAGGGCCAATGAGCCCCGCAGGGGAACAGTTACTAATAGGCAAAGTTTGGAGTCTACTTTTTATCTTGACTCTGCATAAAGACAAGGCACATTTTCCAAAAGGCTTTTATACTGGCTCATAATATTCCACGCCATTGAAGTTCATAAATAATCATCCACTCTGGTTTGAAATGCTTTCAATTTACACATACAAAACTACGGTCGCTTTTAATCTGTGCTATAATCTCTCTTATTCCCGCCCTCATTCAAAAAGAAAACTAAAACAATATGGAATCCCAAATTCACTTAGTGCGCCTAAGAACACTAGAATTTACAGACTGATCTCACCACCTATGCAGGTTCAGCGCCAGGGTGGTATCCCCATCCTCACTTCCTGCAGCCCCCACCTCTAGGATGGCTCCGCCCCTTCCCTCTTAACCAATGGGGCTCGCCGCATCACGGGGAGTCAACTCCAGCAACCCGCCCCTTCACCACTCCAGGCTTGAGCTGGGCTTTCGACCCCGTTTTACCAGACCTTGCGCATGCGCATTCTCATTGGACCGAGAAGAGACGCTTAGAGATCGGTTTTCGTCGCCTTTCTTTCCCCAATCTCGCGACTCTCCTAAACCCTTCCCACCCTTTTATTGCTGAGGATCCCCTTCCCAGTTACTCAGAGAAGGTGCTGCTCAGGCCTTGAGTGCGGCAGTACCCGGATGTGGAGCCGCTCTCGCCCGGCGGGGACTCTGTGGCGGGGCGGAGCGCGGCGGCGTGCGCGGGGGCAGAGAGAAGGGGGCCCCTGGGCCCGGGTGCTCGCCGGTCGCCGGGAGGTACCACCGCTGCCTACGGGGGAGGAGGCGGCGCCGGTGCTCGGGCGCCCACCCCGGAGCGAGGGGTCGGGGGAGAGTAAAGGCCAGCATTTCGGCTTGCCCCCCGCCGCCCTCGCCGTCCCCTCCGGGCGAGCCTCCCCCGGCCCTCTGCGCTCCCCGCGCTCCCGGCCGGGGGAGAGCGAGGTTTCCTGGCGGCCGTCGCTGTAGCCCGGCCGGGGAGCCGGGAGGAAGCGGGAGAGTCCCCGCCCACGGCCCCCTCCCCTCTGCCCGCTCGCCGCCGCCGCCTCCGCCTCCGACCCACAGCGGGCCGGACTCCAGTCCGAGCGGGGGGCGCGGCGGCGACGGCTGGGCAGCGGCTGTGGACTCCGCGGGGACCGCGCCGCCGCCCCCGTGAGTTATTCCCACGTCCCCCGGGGCTCGCTGCCGCCCCCGCCGGCGCCGAGAGTCCGGCCCGGGCCCAACTCACTCACGGGCCCTCCGGCGGCGGCGGCGGCAGCGGCGGAGCCCACCGCCCGGGCCCCGATGAGTAACTCCCGCAATAACCGGGTGATGGTGGAAGGGGTTGGGGCCCGGGTAGTGCGCGGCCCCGATTGGAAGTGGGGGAAGCAGGACGGCGGAGAGGGCCATGTGGGCACCGTCCGGAGCTTTGAGAGCCCCGAGGAGGTGGTGGTGGTGTGGGACAACGGCACCGCCGCCAACTACCGCTGCTCTGGGGCCTACGACCTGCGCATCCTGGACAGCGCGCCCACCGGTAAGTCAGTGCCACCTGGCTGGGTCTGCGCGCTTTAGGGAGGGGACTCTGCTGCGATGGGCTTTGGGGCCGCCTCGCGTGTAGTGCCCGGCTGGAGTGAACAGAAAGGGGAGGGCCACATGGAATTTTAGATTCTGTGCCGGGTACACAAAAACTTGCAGAAACGACCTCCTTCTTCCCAAGGGAATTAATGGCAGTTCCATTACCAGGATGCTTTCCAGCCTGCAAGACACAAAGCACCGAGAATACAACAGACACAGTTCCCCTCCCCTCCTCCTCTTCCTGTAGACACGGGGTCTGGAGAGGCCTGTCTAATAAGCCATTGAAATTAATCAGCCATCAAGTGATAACTGTCTGAAGGGAGGCTTGCCTTGCCATATGGTGTTTAGTTGCCAAGGGGCCGTTCGTGCTTCCAGTTTGCGGTGATAGCTTTTTTTTTTGTTGCCTACTGTGACACCGTGACTTGGAGTTCAGTCGTCGAATGATTGGTATTTAGAACTCTCTGAAATTATTTTTTATCTAAATTGTTTAATTTTATATGTTTCTATCAATAGAGGAAAAAATAGTGTGAGCTCTTGACCCACTTCTTTGGAAACACCTAATTTCTTTTTTTTGGGAAACACCTGATTTCTTAGTTTGTTAGCATTCTCTCTCAGTAGGGTGATATCAGGTTCCTACCCATTCAGTTGTTGTCCTTGATTCACTACATTATAGGGCTCTTGTTATAGACTCTAATTTTTTAAAATATGATAAACTGAAGGCTTGCTTTCATTCTGAAGTATCCCTGTGTTCAGTCCCCAGTATTAGCCCCCCCCAAAAAACCCCAAAACACAATACCCCAAAACATGCCCTGAACTACAGTTACCTTTTTTGATATCCTACTTTATTTAATCTAATTCATTTTCACAGATTTATCCTTGGTAATTGTATTCAGTAGAAAATTTTAAATTGGATACTTTTCAGAATTTCTAAACGAGATGCTTCTAAGATATTATAATTGAATTTGACAAAGCCTAACAAAATTATTTATTTATTTATTTATTTATTATTTTATATGGTGCTGGGGATTGAACCCAGGGCCTTAACATTCTAGTTAAGCATTTTACCACTGAGCTATATCCCCATCCCCACTTGACAAATCTTGAAATGTGCTCATAGTTTTTGCTAGCATCAATAAAAAAGAAATTAACAACAAGCCGATTCAGTTTTTGCACAAGTAATTTATAAAATTGTGTTTGTTAAACAGTTTTTTATACACCACAAAGGGATCTATGTGCATGACCAAAAGAATTGTTTTCTGTTTGTTTATTCTTACAGAATATGCCATGCATTGTAAGCATAGATATGAATATACTGAAAATATAAATCTATTTCTCCTTTTAAGTATAAATGGTATTAAACTATTTTACTCTTGAGCTTTTGTTTTTTCACGTAGTACTATATTGATAATTGTGCCATGTTAGCATGTATGTGTAGGTCTTCCTTATTCTTTTGTGGCTGCATAGTATTCCAGTGACTGGATGCAGAAATTTGTTTAATCAGTACTTTATTTATAGGCATTTATATTAGGTCTTCTTACTTACAGTGATGTCCTGAATAAAATCCTTGTATATGTATCTTTGCATATGTGCTAAGTACTTCAGAAGTGGAATTGTTGCATCAAAGCATGCACATATTTAAACATTTTGATAGATGTTGACTAATTTCATTGTGAAAACATTTTACGCTTTACACTCCCGGCAACATATGCCTGTTCTGCTCACTTAAATTTTGCATGCTAGCTCATGCTGAAGCCTGACCACAAGTCAATAATTAGGAGGAATTCTTCGGATCAGTAATTGTAGATTTTGGAGAAATTTGAATATCTTTCTAAGGTAAATGTAAAGTTTAACAGACCCTGAACAGGGCACAATACCTGTGATCCCAGCTGAAGCAGGATTGCAAGTTTGAAGCGAGTCTCAGAAACTTAGGCCTTGTCTCAATAAAAATAAAAAGGGCTGGGAATGTAGCTCAGTGGTAAAGTATCCCAGTGTTCAGTCCCCAGAATGACCTCTCCCAAAAAACAAAAACACAATACCCCAAAACATGCCCTGAACTACAGTTATCCTTTTTGTCATCTGTGGTGAAAATATTCGAAATTCTTTTTTTCTAGTTTTATAAAAATATGTAGCATATTACTATTGTTGAAAATCATACTCCCAATGCAATAGAATACCAGAACTATTTTTATTACCTTCTATAGTGATTTTGTGTGTGTGTGTGTGTGTGTGTGTGTGTGTATGTGAGAGTACTGGGGACTGAATCCAGGGATCCTACCACTGAGCCACATCCTTATTTATTAATTTTTAATTTTGAGACAGGGTCTCACTAAATTGCTGAAGCAGGCTGGTCTTGAACTTATGATTTTCATGCCTCAGCCTTTTGGTTACTAGGATTGTAAGCATGGGCCCATGCCTGGCTTATAGTGATTTTTTTTTTCCCTCCCACTTTTTTTATTAGTGCATTATAATTGTACTTAATGGTGGGATTTGTTGTTACATATTTGTATGTGCACATGTTATAATGTAATTTGACCAATATCTGTAGTGATTTTTGAAGGGATGTTAATGTTGTCTATATGTTTTGTAGTAGAAAGTATATCATATTAATGATTTCATTATCCTAATATAAAAATAGGTGTTTTTCAGAGGCAACTGTTTTAGACTCTTAGTTTTATTTACAAGGTAATTTAACACATTGTTAATATATAATGGTTCATCTTGTCTGATTACTTTAGCAGACACCTTATTTTTTTGGTGCTGGGTATTGAACCCAGGACCTTGCATATGTTCTACCACTGAAGTATGTCCCAGCCTTTAGCAAACATTTTAAAAATGCTCCTAGATGCAGGAGGGGTAGCCTTCATGTGAAATGTATTTTAGTTTTTATGGTTTCATTTCATCAGGTCTTTTATTATTAAAGGATTGAACAAATCATAAGTTCTTGGCTCTGGTTTTGCCCCAGGACTATAATATTACTTTCAGAGTTTTATTTTTTCTCCTTCAAAATATTTAATAATTAATGTCCATTGACATTTCATTCCGTTTTGCAAGATTTACTCTACTTATTATATTCAATACTTGATATTTATATAATAGTTGAAGTTAAAACTTCATAATGTTAGGGTCTTGCTAACTATAATTATTGAAACCAGGAAATTGGCAGTAATACAGTAGTACTCACCTACATGCCTTATGCTAGCTTTATCAGTTGTTCCACTAATGTTCTTTTTGTGGTCCAGGATTATACATTGTATTTAGTAGTCTTCTTGAGTCTGGACCAGTTTCTTGTTCTTTGTGTTTTATGATCTAGATGTTGAACAATGACCACGTAGACTGTCTCTCAAATTAGGTTTGACTCATGTTTCCTCATGATTACATTCAGATTATGTATTTTGGACAAGAGTACCATAGAAATGGTATTTTGTTCTTCTTAGTGAACCTGACCAGGAGGTATATATTACTCATTTGACTCATTAATAAGAGTGTTAACTTGCCTCTCATCAGCAGGTTTATTCACAGTTGGCTTTTGCACTTTTCAGTTCATTGTCAATGTGAAGGAGGTAAATAATCTTATATATTATCATATAATACTTTTTTTTTTTTTGGTACTGGGAATTTAACCCAGGGGTACTTTTTAAAAATTCTATTTTATTTATTTTCTTCAGACAGATCTCCCTAAGTTGCTGAGGGTCTTGCTGAGTTGCCAAGGCTGGTCTCAAACTTGTTATCCTCCTGCTTCAGCCTCCCATGTTGCTGGGATTAAAGACGTGTGCCACTGCACGTGGCTGACATATTTGAACTAGATAGGATAATAATGTTGTCTTTTGGTGGTGCTGGGGATTGAACCTAGGGCCTTGTGCTTGCGGGGCAAGTACTCTACCAATTGAACTATATCCCCAACCCTAGATAGGATAATTCTTTATTGTAGGTATGTCCTGTATTTTGTAGTGGGCCAACGTTCCTGGTCTCTACCTATTAGATGCAGTAGTATCCACCCCTTATGATAATCTACAATATCTCCAGACATTTCCAAAAGTCCCTTGGAGGGAGCAAAATCGGTTTAGGGATATGTAAGAGTGTGGTAAACGTAGGTGGTAAAACATTAATATCATATTCAGGGGAATAGATATCTTTTTGTGAAGGGAGTGGAATACAATTGGTGGAAGTAAAGGAGGGACTTTAACTGTTTTGGTTATGCTTTGTCTTAAAGTGGATGGTGGGTCATTGGTGTTAAATTTTTATATTTTTTATGTGTTTGACATATGTTGTAGTTAATTACAAAAACAAACAAACAAAAAGGACTTGGTGTTATGGTGTTTACCAGAATAACTGTGGTTGCCTTTGTATTTATTTTTATTCTTTGTTTGAGGTACTGGGAATTGAAATCATGAGCGCTCTACCACTGAGCTACATCCTCAGCCCTTTTCATTTTATTTTATTTATTTTGAGACAGTATCTCACTAAATTTCTGAGGTTGAGTTAAAACTGTTGGACTCAAGTGATCCTCCTGCCTCAGCTTCCTGAGTAGCTGCAATTATAGTCATGCCACTGCACCCAGTGATTATTCATTATTTGTGCTCTACTTATACCCACATTGAATGGACAGAAATTTTATCACAGTATGTTTGGGAATTAAGAAATGGTTGACCTTTAATATAAAATTTGTTGAAACTTTTCTGAGGGTTAAAGATTCTGGAGTGATCGTGTCATTTAGGATCTTTCTCTTAGACTCTTATCACATATTAGAGATTTTTAACTGGGGGTTGTATGTGGGTCTGAAATATTTTGGTATATATGTTTTTTTCTTTCGGGAAATATGTGTTTGAATTTATGTTCTGGATAGTTAAACCTTACAAAGAGGAACATTTGGTATATATTTGAGTGATAAAACTTGAATCTTGTATCCATATACTTTTGGCTAAATTGTAGTCAGCAAGAAGGTTGTGGAAATATATGTTA